GTGGTAGGGGATGGGTGGGGACAGAATTGAGTCCATGATAATTTGCCATCACACAGTTCCCTTTAAAAAAAAAAAAAGAATATTCAATGGAACAGTAAAAAGTATTGGTTTCTTAAATCTCAACCCCTGAGTACATGTCTTTTTTTTTTTTTCATGTCTTTCTAATATTATGTGTGAAGGGGGATCCCTTGGTGGCGCAGCGGTTTGGCGCCTGCCTTTGGCCCAGGGCACGATCCTGGAGACCCGGGATCAAATCCCACGTCAGGCTCCCAGTGCATGGAACCTGCTTCTCCCTCTGCCTGTGTCTCTGCCTCTCTCTCTCTCTGTGTGACTATCATAAAAAAAAAATTAATATTATGTGTGATGAAGTGATGGGAAGTGCCCATAAAGCACTTCTGCTTCACACCAACATATGAATGGGAGTCCCAAGATAAAACATGTGCTTTTAAAATGGAACATGTTTATTTAATATAAGTACTGACTAGTTGAACACTCAACAGACTTTTTTTTTTCAAAAATTAAAGAAGTGAGTCTAACACTTCAAGAAAATATGAGTATTATTAATGATGACATTTGAGTTTTCAGGCAAAAATTATAATTTTTGAAAATTCGCATAGACCACCGTAAACTTAATAACTTCCTAACACTTAAGGCTTTTCTAGTACTACTGAAAATGATATTTGATATTATGTAACAAAATAAGCCAATAGCTGGAAGATCTGCATAACTCAAGGAATCAATATTTTCCAAACGGCCAAAGCATGTTACTTAAAATCTTACATAGACAAAGGATCTATTCAAACTGCATGATAGATTAATGGATTTAAATGTAACAGAGGTTTGTTTTTTTAAGATTTGTTTTGTTTATCTTTTCATGAGAGACACACAGAGAGAAGTAGAGACATAGGCAGAGAGAGAAGCAGGCTCCCTGTGGGAAGCCTGATGTGGGACTTGATCCCAGGATACAAGGATCATGACCTGAGCCAAAGGCAGATGCTCAACCACTGAGCCACCCAAGTGCCTCAAATGTAACCGAGTTTTAAAAGTTCACTGATACGGTTTCAAATTTTACATTGCAACTTGATTTTAGAAAATTCCACTTATCGAGTTATATATTATCAATAAAGATTATTCATTGATATCTGATAGATTATTAAAATACCCTTCTTGTTGGGATGCCTGGGTGGCTCAGTCAGTTAAGTGTCTGCCTCCAGCTCAGGTCATGATCTCAGGGTCCTGGGATCTAGCCCCATATTGCATTGGACTCCCACTCAGCAAAGAGCCTCCTTCTTCCTCTCCCTCTGCCCCTTCCCCCTCAACTGTTTTTTTTCTCTCTCTCTCTCTCTCTCTCTCTCTCAAATAAATAAATATTAAAAAAAAACAAACTCTTCCTTTTCCTTTTCCAACTAAATGTCTTCCTAAGGCAGAGTGGAAGAGCAGGTGTGCTGACTCTTGGAGGATTCTTCTACTGCTAATGCAATGGAAGAAGCATATGTTTCTGAGGCTGAAGTTATAAGATTCTGGAGATCCCATAGGCCTGGATAACTCTGAGGAGTTGGAACAGATTTTCATGATGGGAATGTGCCATTAGTGAACAGGATTGGCTACACAATTTGCCCAGTGCAAATGTGACTGTACTAAATAAATACCATTGAATTGTACATTTAAAAAGGGCAAAATTCATGTTATATATATTTTACCACAATAAAAAAAACTTATTAAAAATAGCAAGATGATTACAGCAGTTAAACCAAACACTGGCCCTTCTTGAGTATGGGGCCCTGTGTGACTGCCTACACTGCAGGCCCATGAAGTTGGCTTTGTTGGTAAGATATAAACCTTTATTGTATTAAACCATTGGGATTTTAGTATGATTATTATCACAACATCACCTGACATGTCCTTGCTAATAAAGAGCTGAAGAAGGTTTAAATAAAGAAATGACTTTCTAAACTGATATCCAGAGACTAAGTAGGAATTAGCAAAGTAAATAGAAGAGAAGGCTTGCTTACAGAGAAGGAATGGTATGCTAACATATCTCATCCTTAATGAGGAGAGATAATCACAAATACAACATAATGATGCCCCATTTGCTAGGTATTGCTATTGTCCCTCCAAAATACTCTTTACCTTCCAATTTTCTGTCCCAGGAAGCTGACCTGTATAGGCTATAAAAGTGGATTCCCTTGACTTTCAGGCACTGGAGAGCTCTAAACTTATGCTGTTGTTTGTTTTATTTTGCTTTGTTAATAAAGCTGAGGGGAGAATAAAGATGGCAGGATATTTATTTCCCTGGACCTCTCCATAGGGTTGTCTCAGATAATGCTTTAGGTAATTCCCTTCCACTAATGGCATTCAAGTCTTCTCCAAAGGGATCTTTCTTCTCAGTTTCCATAACCACTTCTATCCTACAATCCCTTCGGTCCTAAGGGTGGTAGCACTTTTTGGTTTCAACCTATATTACTCACATATTTGTAAATAGTTCCTTCCTTGAGCCCTCAGTGAATTGTTTTGTTTTAAGAAATGCCATACTGTTCCCATTTGGGCCCAATTTGGTAATGCCAGTATCAGAGAGCACAAGAATGAATATGGCTTGAGAATTAGTTAGAGAACAATGTAGAGTCCAATGTAGAGTCCATGTGGATATGTGAAGCAGTTTTGTTCCTCACTGAAATACATCTGGAGGCACATTATAAATGTAGGCACACTTGTTGAAGAAAACTATTGCTACATATTACATGTGGAGAAAAATACAACATGGATTCTGTTCCAGTAGATATATTAATCCTTGCACTTGACATGTTTAAATTCATTTTTTCTGCAAACTCAATCACAAAACTCTTGTCATTAGTCTGCAGAGAGAATTATAATATATATGAGTCAGAGAATAATGTAACCAACTCAGCTGCCTTCTCTATGGAAGAACAAAAGTGTATAATCAGTCTAGAAGGATAATCCTAGAGGTAAGAGGGCACATGTTTTTAGGTTTAATTATCTCTAAACTCTAAGTAATTACCCATAATTTCAAAGTAAATCTCAATTACATTACCTAGTTTATATTTTTCTCATTTCTGTAAAGAAATTTGCATCATACTTCTTTTATAGTTAGGAGAAGAATTATTATAGCTACCAGTTGAACTATAGGTTTACACCTCATTGTGGCTAATAATGGTACCTAATTAAAATACCCTAACTAGCTAGAATAATTGGTTACCACCTGGGATAATTTATTATAGTAAAAGGAAATCATGCTGTCTATTCATGTCAATTCGTGTCCATATATTGAACTGCAGAAATATTTGTTTCCTTTTCATCAAGTTGTATTTTAGAAAAAGTTGTATGCTATTTATAGTCCTTCTAGGAACTGAACTGTGTCCCCTTCCTCCCCAATCACATGTTGAAGCACTAACTTCCAATGTGACTGTATTTAGAGATAGAGCCTCCAAGAGGTAATTGAAGTTAAATGAGGTGGCAAGGATAGAGCCCTAATCCAGTAGAGTTGGTAGTCTTAAAAGAAGAGTAGAAAAGTAGAAAAGAGGCATGCATGCCACAGAGGAAAGGTCCTGTGAGGAAAGAGCATGAAGGAGGCTATCTGCAAGCCAAGGAGGGATCTCTCTCCAGAAACCAATCTTGCTGGACCTTAATCTGAGACTTCAGCCTCCAGAATTGTTAGAAATAAATTTCTTTCATTTAAGCCACCCCATCTCTGGTATTTGTTATAATAGCCCAAGTTGACGAATATAGACTTTGGGACTGAGAAGTGGAATGCTACTGTAACAAATACCTACACATCAGGAAATGCCTTTGGAAAGGGGTAATGGTAGAGGCTGGAAGAGTTTTGAGGTACATGCTACAAAAACTCAAGGTTGGGGAGAAGGGACTATTGATAACAATACGGATGCTAAAGGTAATTTTGATGGGGGCTCAAAAAAGCAGAGGAGAGCTTGAGAGAAAGTTTCCATCTTCTTAGAGAATACATAAATAATCATGAAAAGAATATTGGACAAAATATGGATGTCAAGACCATTCTGGTAAGATCTTAGATGGGAAGATTAGGTTAACAGAAACAGGAAGAAAGGCAATCATTGTTAGGAAATGACAAAGAATTTGGTGGAACTGTGTGCATGTCCAAGTGCTTTGTGGAAAGTAGAACTTAGCAGCAATGAAATTGGATATTTAGCTGAGGAGATTTCCAAGCAAAGTATTGAAGAAATGGTTTGGTTCATCCTGACTGCTTACAGTAAAATGCAAAAGAAGAGAGATGAAATAAAGAAGGGATTGTTGAACAAAAAGTAAGCAGAACTTGAAAATTTGGAAAATTCGGAAAATTCTTAGCCTGTTTATTTTGCAGAAAATGAGAAAGCTTATTCCAAAAAGAACACTAAGGGTATGACTGAACAACCATTTAGTAAAGAGATTAGTTAGAATGTCCAGGGAAGACCCAGTTGGGTGGAGGCCTGTGGGGCAGGCAATGAAAGAATTCACCCAAGGCAGAACTGTGATATTCCTTGCATCCAAAGGCATTGAAGGAGAATAGGCTGGGGGCACTAGAGAATCTAACTGCTATTCCCTGTGGTCTTGTGGCCATAAGGCAAATGAGTGCTTGTAAGGGTAGCTTAATAGCTGAGAAGCGGGGTCCCAAGATGAGTGGATCCATGGCATGTAAGGTGTGAAATCTGTTTGACACCGCTGTAGAAAATCTAAGGCTGTCAGGGGCATATTAGCTTTGGGAACTTCGGTTACCAAGTAGGATTTATTAATATCCTTTCTTTTTTTTTTCCTTTTCTCTCTCTCTCTCTCTCTCTCTCTTTTCAGATATAGAACACTTGGGCAGTCCCGGTGGCTCAGCGGCTTAGCGCCTACCTTCGGCCCAGGGCATGATCCTGGAGTCCCGGGATCGAGTCCCACATCAGGCTCCCTGCATGGAGCCTGCTTCTCCCTCTGCCTGTGTCTCTGCCTCTCTTTGTGTCTCTCATGAATAAATAAATAAAATCTTAAAAAAATATATGGAACACTTCATGAATTTGTGTGTCATCCTTGCACAGGGGCCATGCTAACCTTCTCTGTATCATTCTAATTTTAGTAGACATGCTGCCCAAGCAAGTACTCAGAGTCCCTTCTTTAGGAGCAGTCACATAAGTGGATCCAGTTCCCCCCCTGGAGGCATCTAAGCATAGCCAACAATTGGAAGAATAGGCTGAATTGGCTGTTTGGAGGAGGTATTGTGCTTCCATATTACCAGTGGAAAGTGACAGGAAACAATATAAGAAGGGCAGAACAGGGGTCATATTTCACAGCGGACAGGTCTTTTTGCTCTTCAGGTTTAGAGCCAATTATGTGAGCATGGAAATCCTTATGTAGGATTTGATACACACCAAAAGAAGGTAACGACGAGAAAGACAAAGATTAACCCAGAAAGGGGTGATGCTTGTATTGTGAGAGCAGGAAACACCAAGGGCAGGGACAGCTTCAGGTAAGTAGGGATTTCTCAACAAGTAAATTCAGAGAGGTCAGCCTGAAGGAAAAGGTCGAGAATGAAGTCTTGGAATTGAGAAGGAGAAATCATGAGAATTTGGGGAAGATAGTATTTAGGGAGTTCTTCTAAGACGATATAGAATGATTGAATACAAGAGAATGGGGATTGGCCAAATTCATGAGCTTCTAGACTTCTGGGTGTATATCACCTGAGTCTCATTGGAATAACATGTATAGATAGCCAATGGCTCACAGCTGTACTTGGCGGAGGGCTCCTCACCTGGGGCCTAAGCAGTCTCGATTCTAGAAAGATGGATCCACAGAGAGAAGCCATGAAGTTTTACTGCTGTTGGAGCGGTCAGGAGAACTTGATAGGGTGCAGTACAGACAGGTTCAAGTGATTTTTGTCCTGACAAAGAGTGTTAAGGTGTACCCAATCCCCGGATGTAAGTTTTGGATGTATGTTACCTGAGAAAGAAGGGTCAGGTTTTCAAATGTACTGGTTTTGGTGGTCATTCATGGCAGTGACGGTTTGCCCTAGGGATATAACATACTGTGTGAGAGTATCACTTTCAGGGTCTAATAAAAGATCTGTCTGGAGGAAGGGTCTCCCATAAATAACCTTGAATGGATTGAGATGGGTTATAGATTTGGGGGTGATATGTGACCTTAATAATGCAAGGGGAAGGAAGACCAGCCCAAACTCTTTACTTTCATGCATAAGTTTAGTGAGGAGCCTTTTTATGGTTTGGTTGGTCCTCTCTAACCTTGCAGGAGGACTGCGGATGCCATGCTGCATGCAGGTGGTATTTTCTCTAGAGGAATTTGCTAACTCCCTGTGTTATTTGAGAAACAAAAAGTAGGCCATTGTAAAGAGTGAGAAGCCCCAAACAGAAAAAGGATGTGATCAAGGAGGGGAGTGGCCTCTGAAGTTCTCTCTGATTTAATGGAAAGGGCTCTAATCCATCCCATAAAGGTGTCTACAAAGACCAGTAGATACTTGAACCCTTTGCAGTGAGGTGTGCGCTTAAAATCTATCTCCCAATCCTCCTCTGGTAGAGTCCCTCATCTCTAGGTAGGCTGAAGAACTGAGGGAGGTTTATGGGGCCCCTAGGGTTTGACAACAGGTAAAACACACCTGGGAGGTAGCCCTCAGGGTTTGGGGAATGTCTTGGGTTGCCTGATGAAAGTCATTAAGAAATTTCCATTATAGGGGGGAGGGGCAAGATGGCGGAAGAGCAGGGTCCCCAAATCGCCTGTCCCCACCAAATTACCTAGATAACCTTCAAACCATCCTGAAAATCTACGAATTCGGCCTGAGATGTAAAGAGAGACCAGCTGGAACGCTACAGTGAGAAGAGTCCGCGCTTCTATCAAGGTAGGAAGACGGGGGAAAAAGAAATAAAGGAACAAAAGGCCTCCGAGGGGGAGGGGCCCCGCGAGGAGCCGGGCTGAGGCCGGGGCGAGTGTCCCCAGGACAGGAGAGCCCCGTCCCGGAGGAGCAGGAGCTGCACCAACCTTCCCGGGCGGGCGGAAAGGGGCTCGCAGGGAGTTGGAGCAGGACCCAGGAGGGCGGGGATGCCCTCGGGCTCCCGGGGACACTAACAGACACCTGCGCCCCGGGAGAGTGCGCCGAGCTCCCTAAGGGCTGCAGCGCGCACGGCGGGACCGACCGGAGCAGCTCGGAGGGGCTCGGGCGGCGGCTCCGCGGAGGGGGCTGCGGGGCGGGAGCGCGAATCCAACAGCGCAGGCCCCGGAGCACAGGGCTCCGGGACACAGCCCAGGATCCGGCCTCCCCCGGGACAGGCAGAGGCCGGGAGGGCCCAGGACAGCGAGGACGCTCCTGCCCCGAGCTGAGCAGATCAGCGGCCCCGCCCCGGAGCCTCCAGGCCCTGCGGACGGAGAGCCGAGAGCCCCGAGCCCCGTAGTTCCTGCGGAGGCTCAATCCAGGTTTCCAGAGTTGCCATAGCCACTGGGGCTGTTCCTCCTGGGGCCCCACGGGGTAAACAACCCCCGCTGAGCCCTGCAGGAGGCAGGGGCAGAGCAGCTCCCCCAAGTGCTAACACCTGAAAATCAGCACAGCAGGCCCCTCCCCCAGAAGACCAGCTGGACGGACCAGTGATACTCCCCCGTGTTCCAATACAGCTTGTTTTTGGCCACTCTGCACTGAGCAAAATGACTAGAAGGAAAACCTCACTTCAAAAGAAAGAATCAGAAACAGCCCTCTTTCCCACAGAGTTACAAAATCTGGATTACACTTCAATGTCAGAAAGCCAATTCAGAAGCACCATTATACAGCTACTGGTGGCTCTAGAAAAAAGCATTAAGGCCTCACGAGACTTCATGACTGCAGAATTTAGATCCAATCAGGCAGAAATTAAAAATCAATTGAATGAGATGCAATCCAAACTAGAAGTCCTAACGACGAGGGTTAACGAGGTGGAAGAACGAGTGAGTGACATAGAAGATAAGTTAATGGCAAAGAGGGAAACTGAGGAAAAAAGAGACAATCAATTAAGGGACCATGAAGACAGATTAAGGCAAATAAATGACACTCTAAGGAAGAAAAACCTACGTTTAATTGGGGTTCCCGAGGGCGCCGAAAGGGACAGAGGGCCAGAATATGTATTTGAACAAATCCTAGCTGAAAACTTTCCCAATCTGGGAAGGGAAACAGGCATTCAGATCCAGGAAATAGAGAGATCCCCCCCTAAAATCAATAAAAACCGTTCAACACCTCGACATCTAATAGTGAAGCTTGCAAATTCCAAAGACAAAGAGAAGATCCTTAAAGCAGCAAGAGACAAGAAGTCCCTGACTTTCATGGGGAGGACTATTAGGGTAACAGCAGACCTCTCCACAGAGACCTGGCAGGCCAGAAAGGGCTGGCAGGATATATTCAGGGTCCTAAATGAGAAGAACATGCAACCAAGAATACTTTATCCAGCAAGGCTCTCATTCAAAATGGAAGGAGAGATAAAGAGCTTCCAAGACAGGCAGGAACTGAAAGAATATGTGACCTCCAAACCAGCTCTGCAAGAAATTTTAAGGGGGACTCTTAAAACTCCCCTTTAAGAAGAAGTTCAAGTAACTCTGAACGTGAATGGGCTTAATGACCCCATCAAAAGGCGCAGAGTTTCAGACTGGATAAAAAAACAGGACCCATCTATTTGCTGTCTACAAGAGACTCATTTTAGACAGAAGGACACCTACAACCTGAAAATAAAAGGTTGGAGAACCATTTACCATTCAAATGGGTCTCAAAATATACCCTAAAAACTACAGAACACTTCTGAAAGAAATTGAGGAAGACACAAAGAGATGGAAAAATATTCCATGCTCATGGATTGACAGAATTAATATTATGAAAATGTCAATGTTACCCAGGGCAATTTACACGTATAATGCAATCCCTATCAAAATACCATGGACTTTCTTCAGAGACTTAGAACAAATTATTTTAAGATTTGTGTGGAATCAGAAAAGACCCCAAACAGCCAGGGGAATTTTAAAAAAAGAAAACCATATCTGGGGGCATCACAATGCCAGATTTCAGGTTGTACTACAAAGCTGTGTTCATCAAGACAGTGTGGTACTGGCACAAAAACAGACATATAGATCAATGGAACAGAACAGAGAACCCAGAAGTGGACCCTGAACTTTATGCTCAACTAATATACGATAAAGGAGGAAAGACGATCCACTAGAAGAAAGACACTCTCTTCAATAAATGGTGCTGGGAAAATTGGACATCCACATGCAGAAGAATGAAACTGGACCACTCTCTTGCACCATACACAAAGATAAACTCAAAATGGATGAAAGATCTAAATGTGAGACAAGATTCCATCAAAATCCCAGAGAAGAACTCAGGCAACACCCTTTTTGAACTTGGCCACAGTAACCGGAGAAGGACAAACAGTGTATGTTCTCATTCATTTGGGGAATATGAATAATAGCGAAAGGGAATATATGGAAAGGGAGAAGAAATGTGTGAGAAATATCAGAAAGGGATACAGAACATAAAGACTTCTAACTCTGGGAAATGAACTAGGGGTGGTGGAGGGGGAGGAGGGTGGGGGGTGGGGGTGAATGGGTGACGGGCACTGAGGGGTACACTTGACGGGATGAGCACTGGGTGTTATTCTGTATGTTGGTAAATTGAACACCAATAAAAATTAATTTATAAAAAAAAATAAAATAAAAAAAAAAAAAAAAAAAGAAATTTCCATTATAACATTCCCAGGAGTAACAGTTTATTATGTGGGCTTTGCAGCCAACTTTCTGAAGTCTGGGAAAGCCCTTTTTAAACGTCCATTGGGTTCCTTCCTGAATATATCATAGGGAAAAGGGATTTAGACTGGGAAGCAAAGTGGCTTGAAGGAGCAGCCTGGGCTTGTCTGTCAGTTCTGTTGTTTCCAACAGAGACTGAGTCATTATCCTTTTGATGCGCTTTGCAATGAATAATAGCTATTTGGGCAGGAAGCATAACTGCCTCTAGCAGGGCCAAAATTTCAGAGGCATGTTTAATTGGGGTATTTTGGGTTGTAAGGAGGCTCCTCTCTCTCCAAATAGCAGCATGGGCCCGGACTGCATGGAAGGCAGAAGCTGAATCAGCGTATACGTTT